GGGAAGTTTCATGTCGGAATTTCCCATACAAAACCCGTGTTTAGCTGTCGGAAAAGACACCACGGTTCTCCTTACATATGGGGCAGTGGCTCATCCCGTTGGCCTGTAACATATATGTTTTAGGCCAGAGTTCCACCGTCTCTTCCTGGAAGCAAATGATGGTCCACAGGTGTAGGCGGTCCTGAATCTGGTTGTCAGACCGAACGTAACTCCAAATCCAATTGAGGCTGCCGAGAAGACCACTTACGGTTCCTTAGTCTTATGCTATCTGTCGACTGGCACGGTTGGCTCGTGGCTGCTTTCGTATAGTGCCGAATAGTTTATGATGGCTGACGCGGGAGGTGTACCAAGGGGAGCGCCAAGGACGTCGGTCAAAAGAAGAGAGGGGTAATGTAATGCTTTGTTTATGTGACTACCTGACGTTTGGCGGTCACTCTAGAATTTGTCTGGTCCTTGTACGCGTGGGCTTGCCTTCGGGCCACGCTCAGGCTCCATTTATTCTGTCGTCCTCAGAATATATGTATTCAACCTTACTTCTGCCTTTATCCACCCTATGGGAAGCCTCAGGAGACTACATTGCTCATACTAAAAGCGAGACTACGTATAACGATTGAATCGACTGCTTATATGCTTTCCAATGCATAATGAGGAGTCTCATGATACCGCTGTAATACTTCGGTTATGTGATCGCCTGATGCCTGGTGGTCGCTTTAAGATTCGTCTGGCTCTCGTACGTGTGGGCTGGCTTTCGGGCCAGGCTCAGTTAGTCCCTATGCACATACTAGCATACATGTATTCATTTCCACTTACTGCCTTCTTCTGCCCAGCGGGAAGACTTCGAAAACTACGGTTGAAGGGTGAAAAATGGGACTAGATCGGAGTGGGATTCGAACACCAACCCACGCGTAATGTTGGGCAAACAAATAGCATTACAGGTGTAAGGCTTTGTTTATGTGATCATATGATATTTGTTAGACACATTAGGAGTTGTCTGGCCCTTTAGGCCTTCATGGCCTTCAGGCCATGCCCAGGCCCATTTGTCCTGTCGTCTTCGGAATACATGCATCCCACTGTACTTACTGACTTCTTATACCGTCTAGGAAGTCTTGGGACGCCAAAGTAATGGAGCCCTATTTTAGGCTTCCTTAAAATATTATAAGTTTTCGAATAATGTACTGTTTAATCACATTAAGATCAAGCCTTATAAACATGAAATGCAATGGAAAATCGAGAGAATCTCTCTCATTTTTCTAAGAGTTAAAATCGGTTTAACTGTAATCTCAGCGACAAAATCTTAGCTCAGAGACACCACACCACAATGGACTAATCTGGTCTTAAAAAATTACATAATAAATAGCAAAACATACTAATAATGAATATTTTCTACTGATGTCTGTTTTATCTGACTCATCTCGTCCCGGTACATCCGAAGTTTTGAATCTGCGTATAGGATGTTCGAGGCTAGGCTGCAACAGGCGGATGTATGGAAAAAGGTCATTGACGCCATCAAAGAGTTGGTGCAAGAGGCGACAATCGACTGCTCTGACACTGGGATTAGTCTTCAGGCAATGGACAGTGCTCATGTCAGTCTTGTTTCGCTCTTGATGCGTAGCGACGGGTTTGAAACGTTCAGGTGCGACAGAAACATGTCACTCGGTCTCAATATTACAAGGTTTGTCTTCTTAGGGGATGACTCTTTAGTGCCGCAAAAATTCTCCGATGTGCCTCCTCTACTGATTCAATAACGTTGAAAGCCGGTGACAAGGCTGATACAATAACCTTTATTTTTGAGTCCAAGAGTAAGGAGCGTTGTGCATGGCTTACCTCTTTAGATCAAGAGAAGGTTTCCGAATTCGAGCTTAAACTTATGGATTTGGATGTTGACCACCTTGGCATTCCGGTATAATCGGTACCAGCTAATAGCTTTACGATAGGAAACTGACTATAAGTGTGTTATTCGAATGCCTGCTTCGGAGCTTCAGAGAATTTGCCGCGATCTTGGGCAAATCGGCGACTCTGTCGTTATTACCGTTACCAAAGATGGAGTCGGGTTTAGCTCCACTGGTGATTTGGGGTCTGGGAAAATCAAGCTTTCTCCAAGTGCCAACGCGGATAAGCCGGAAGAGTCTATCTCCATAGAGATGAGCGAGTCTCTCACTATGACCTATTCCTTGCACTACTTCAACATCTTTACGAAGGCTGCGCCTTTGTCGAGCCAGGTGATTCTATCGCTCACCGCTGATGTTCCTGCGGGTATGTTGGTGCAATCCACGATAATTCCATTCTAGTTGTTGAATTTCCAATTGAGGATCTGGGACACATCCGCTACTATCTTGCACCTAAGATCGAGGATGACGAGGCGTAAAGATGATTGTAACGATTTCCTCCTAGTTGTTTCATGTGGATATTTAAAAGATCACTCGAAGTACAATCTATTTTCGTATTGCCTGATGATATTCTCTACCAATCTTTCGGGTACTATGACATGGTTCTCAGTTGGGCTTGGCACACATTCTGCCTGCTTGATAAAGGGGCACTTGGTAGCACTATCTTATAACACTGTGATGGATGGATTGGCTGCAAGGTTTGATGTCATTGGTGCTAAAGTCGGTGCTTAGGCTGTTTGGTGCTGATGGTCCGGGGTGTTTCGATTCAACGTCTTTGGTTGGTTATAGACGAATCTTCGTGTTATAGGATGGTTGGGCGGGTGATGACTGCTTTTGAACAGATGAGGTGTAAGGCTGTGAGCGTGTCTGAGATTGCGTCATGTCATTTGCAATTCCATTTCGCTTTTGCTGAACTCGTTTGCCATTGTAGATAGGTTCATTTGAATAGGAACCTAAGGCGTATCCAAATTTAACCATAAAATTGACTTTATTCCTTAATACACTGGATTGAAGAGTTACAAATCCTGACCGTGGTTAGTTTTACCATTGTTACATAATTTATGATTGCTTAAATCTTTATTGACGCCAAAATGAGCATACAGAGATGTTGACGTCCCGGGACTTACTCATTGATTGAAGAAAGCACAGCACTGGGACTGAATACATGTTTCCAGCAAATGGGGAGGAGCTGGAGACTTTGGCAAGGCATGGGGTCCAACCCGCCTGGAACTAAGGCCACCAGTTCCAGACGCTCCTCTCCCTATGACTCACTTCAGCCGTTTCGACGCCATGAGTGTTTTGTCACGCCTACGCGACTGGGGAAAAGTAAGTGCCCTCAACGCCACTACTCTCTCATGATGGACTCAATTAGATGTGGAGTGTCGTCTGATGTGAGAATAGAAAATAAAGATTAAAGAATTTTAATGACCAACATGTGTGTCCATTTGGCACATGAAATTTGATACAGCCCTGTGAGGATGGAGTTTTGCTTCACTTTACATTACTATCAACCATTTGCAGACATGGCAAGAAAAGCTTGTGTATAAAACTTTCTGTGATGAATCACAACTTGTTGTGCTATCTTCGGAACATGGGAATGACGTGAATGCTGAAAGCAGACATCATTTTCAGCCCCTCCGTTACGGAGAAATGAGGAAGTCTTTCATCTGTAGCACTGTTGACGCCTGCCTCCAACGATGAGGTTCAAAATGTGCGTCCTTCTTCTTTTCTACCCTCTTGGCAATCTTCTCAAGAGTCTGCCATCTTCGAGACGCATAGTGCTGCAAAGAATGCGAAAGACGTAGCTCAAAGGAAGGCGTGAGTATATGGGAGAAGTTCTTTTTGTGTATGAGCACGACACTGGATCCAGTGTTACCACCTCAAATCTATCAGGCACACTTAAATGACACATGCGCATTACTACGTACCATCTTTGGTTCTGGCTGCTGTGCTATCTCATGGATTTCTTTCCTTCACCACTGAAGGACTGGAGGGGGGGCGTCTGTTTTGAGCTGTATCTCATTATGGTGGACGGTTGCTGGTTGGGTACACGGCTCCACTTTATGGACGAGGCCAACTCTTTCGCCGGTAGCCTTATTTGTATGTGCCGAGAAGAGTCTGCGAGACAGGCTATCCGCATTGCACGGTCAAATTTTGGCATCGTTTTCGGCAGTCATGGTCTGGTGACCTGTGAACGGCCTAGCAATCAGCTAGTGCTTGAAATGCTTAACCATTGAGTAGACAGCGAACAGATCACGTTCATTTGCTCACTTTAATGTTGGTTTATGTTGTGTCTGAAGCTGGCATTGGTGATGACGTGTTCTCTTCTACCTTTGCCCCTTTGTAAGGGTACATCGCCTATCGTGACACCAGTTGTGTCGATGGTCAGTTCATATGGCGGCGCCTTGGCCTCAAAGTTGGCTAAGGCTGAGACAGGTGGAGAGCAGAGCGAATGTCGAAGTTTTTTGAACGCCTCTTCATGCAGGTTCCTTCACCCGAAGTCCTGCTTTACGCGTTTTTCGCATAGCTTGTGTAGTGGGATGGTGATCCTACTAATACACTGAATACAGCGACTGTAATGCTTTACCAAATAAGGATTTTGCTGAGTTACGTCTGGATGTTTAGCGCTAGTCGAGTTCGAACTTATTTTGTAGCATCTTCACTGACTGCCATCCCATCAGCTGAGACGATGTGATCCAGGAAGGCGGTTGAACTTTGAAGGAGGGAGCATTTCTTATCCAAGGCGATCCAACGCTAGCTGCAGATTGATGTTACGTCCTCAGGCACTTCAAACAAAAGTGAGATTGTTATAGAAATAAATAAAATGGTGCTCTGGGAAAGACTTAGCAATGCAGCCAACATCAGTCGTTGACAAGCAGTTGTGGAGTTGTTGAGCTGGAACGATATTACATGGCACTTGTAGAATTCTCGTGGTGGCATAAGAGCCATTCCTGTGCTTCCACCTGCCGGTAATCGAAATATAAGTCTGGTGTTGAGAATCACTTCCTTACTGAAATTGGTCGCACATAACCGATGCACAATCGTAGGCTGCCACCTCTTGTTTTCATTTGTACGATTGGCAGGACTTTTGGTTACATTGATGACTTTATGACTGCATCATGAAGCAATTCAGCAATTGGAAATTTTGCTCCTTCTTGAAGGGGATGGAGAGGAGGGTATGTGTCTGGCATGTTACCATGTTGATACCGACTGTGTGTTTACCGATGTTTGCTGGTCTCCATTTCACCTACACCCAGGAGAACATGTAGAATTTCTTGCCGCTTAATGGGAATAGTTCCAATCTCTGGTTATCGGTGGTGTGCGTTAATCGCGACCAGACAATGACCTCGTTAGTCCTGATGAAAATAACTGATTTTAAACGAGTACTGGAAGATACTGTCTGATTCATTCATAGACCGATCCAGCATTACTTGTGCCGGAGCTCTGCTGGACCACTAAGTTGCCTTTAGGTAAATTTATGATCGCTTTGGTACCAAGCAACCTCCATGCATAAGGTAAATTCACGGTTCAGCTGTCCTTTCCTAGCGTAGATTTAAGCGAACACTTGCTGTAATGCCTCATCCTTCTGCATGATGTAACCTTGGAGATAATGGAAATAATCTTCAGTTGCAAAGTGCAAATACTTGCTTAACAGCATCTGTGGTGAGATAAAAACTGCATGAGAAAGGTTCCATTGTGTCTCTAACTCGCATGAGTTCACGAGAGCCACATAAAATTTTGCAGGTAACTGATGAGTAGCGATTATTGTTTTTTGGCAGAGCGTAGAGAGAATCGGTGATGCATGCGGAGTTTGCTCAATTTTTTCGCGTTTAAAAGGAAGATCGAGATCGGAGTACCAGCAACATTACATAAGTAACGTCTATCTGTGGAAAAATTTAGCCAAAAATTTGGATGATTCCTCATTATAAACTAATTGTTTATCAATGCAGGGTCTCTTGAATACAACAGAACAACATGTTCCAAGGTGCGACTAATGCAGTTCACACGGTATTCCTTCCAAATAATTGTGACAAGCTGATAAAAACTGAAGTCTTCGGCGTAGGTCGAGCAGGATGATGCACAAGAAAATGAGGACGGCCAAAGGTTTTTTAGCGTCTTGAGACTTACTGTAGGGCAAAAGAAGGCAGTAAGTGAGTTTAAATATGTGTAAGTGGCATGAGAACGGCCCAGATAAATCCTGAAGTGACCACTGAACGTCATGCGGTCACGAATCTAAAGCATCACAGGTTTAATATTCAAAATGGCATTGAGTCCCTAAATTAAGAAAGAGTGGGTTGTCAGTACAGTTGTGGCAATCAGTGTTGGTTCATAGCCATTTTCTAGATTGAAATTAATACTACTACATCCAAAGCAAGTAAACAAAAATTTGTTTTGGTTTTAACAATTTTTTTTATTTTTGGAATTTTTTTACTGGAGGAATTTTTGTTTTGACTGACAAATACAAAACTGGCACTTTTAAGTTGGGCTATGGGTCGAGCCTGGCGTTTGATTGGTTACTTCATTATTGTGATAATTTTTCTCGAAATTTCATTCGACATGGCGTCGACTTTTCTAATCTTGCGCGTATATAAATAGGGCAATCTGCAATTGCTGTTTGCGGCTTAATCACTATTGTTTGTGCCTCGTTTTCGACTGCGTAAGCACTACAAACCCTTGCTCCTTATTGAACACACTTGTTCGCAAACATTTCATTATTGATGTTGGTTACGGTGCTCGGTGCATCTGCATAATTTAATGGGATTTCGCTAATTTTCATTGGGCAAACATTATGCATTATCATGGAATTAAATGCTTTGAACTTTTCACCCATGTCTCTCTTCACCATATTACCTTTCTTTTTAGAGTAGGGCATTTTATTGTTGCTTATTTTTGCTTCATAAGGCATGAAAATGAGCTCCGACTCCTCCAGCACATCGAACAAGGACCAAATGCGTTCCCTCAGCATTATTCCAGTGAATGAATTGAGCAACCTCTCAGTAGATGGTATCCCATTTCTCATTTTTAAAACTTTCCTTAGATATTGCAGTTACCGTTCGAGGGAGGCCCATTCCACGCGAATATTGGGGAGACCTTCTACATTATTTTTATAAGTATCCCTCATTGAATGAGACATCGGTATGATGTCGTTTGAGCAATTGTCAACCCCAATATTTTGCTCTTAGGAAGGCGACCACAAGCTTGGTGGTCGTCGCTTCCGACTAAATTCGTCTATCTACTACCAAATGAATCGAAATGAAGAGTTTGACAACTTCACCAACATCGGCGGCGGTGCCTTTTCAAGAGTATACAGAGTAAGCCATTTTGCACACTATGCTTCATTTGCAAACTTATTAGGCCATGCATCGCCTAGATGGAAAGTCGTACGCTTTAAAAGTTATTCGTGATATTTCGTCACCGAAGTCACTGGTGAGTCCTCATCGTATCACTTGTACGAGCACTAATTGCTTTGTAACCAGTCCAATCACCTCTTTTGAGACGTGCTAAGACCTTTCTTCCAATGTCTATTCGCATAACTTTTAGAAACATGCGAAGATTGAGGTTGACGTGTTGGCCCAGCTTGACCATCCCAACATTGTTCGTTATTTCGGCTGTTGGGTAGAAAGAACTTGCGCCACCAGAGTCGCAGTGCGTTACCCTGTCGGCTGCTTGCCCTTGTCTTATTGGGTCATACAAAAAGAAACAAGCCTTCTTTTTATCACCTTTTAGGCTCACTCTTTGGACTCCAGGTAGGATCAACATCTACAACTGTAATCAACATTTGGATACTCTACGCATTGAATAAGTCGTTTGGTCTTGACTTCATCCAATCTTGTTCGTGTTCGCGCGCACATTTATTCAGTTTTAACTATGAAGGTGTTTATCCACATCACTTCATATGTCCGCATTTGAACCATAATGTGCAATTTGAACGACAATCCCCAATTTATCGATAGACCAGTCGCATACCTAAGGCGATAGGCCGCCGAACGCGATATGGAGAATGAATTGAATGAAAGAACCACTTTAACATGCTACCGGCATGACAAATGGCATACAGCATCTGTTGAATTATAGGGCTATACGTTGAACTCATGCCTTGAACTACCCTTCTGCTTCCTGCCTAGAAGCTGCTCTAACCCTAGCGAAGCGACCCATTCAAACGAGTCCACCTCTGCTGCTGCGTGCTCTTGGGCGTCTAATGTCAGCACCGGTGACGGCAACTGTCGTCTGCTCCATCTAGTTGACGAAGATGACAGCGGAGAAGACCTACATGACGCGACTGAGCCAAGCGAAGGAGGCGACAGTTGCGCCCTTGCTCTTCCAGAAAGCCGAATAGTCCATTTTTCGGTTGGTTAACTCTTCTCCATTCCCTCTTTTCAATGACAGCGTCCTTTATTCGTCTTCAAAAGCAATTCAAACTTAATGAAATCGTAGTTTTATGTCCTCAACTTCAGAGTTCAGCTCTGGTCAACTATCATTGTCAACTTAGGTGAAGAATGCCAATCGAATCGTAAGTCAAAACCTCAAATGTCATTTACTCAGGTCAATGAGCTGAACGCCTGTCCTGTGACGTTGGTTATCCAGATGGAATTGTGCGGATCTACACTTTCCGATTGGGTGCAAATTAGAAACAACTCCCTCTGTTCCCCAACAGCTTCAGATTGTCCAAAACACCAATCGTTCGATCACTCCTATCGCGCTCAGGTTAGATGGATCTTCGATCAGATAGCGAAAGGCCTTCACTATATGCACCAAAAGGGTGTTCTTCATCGAGACATTAAGGTGGGTATTGGTCTTTGCCCTTGCCACTTCTTCCGCTTTGTTCAACTCTCCCACCTTTATTCCAGCCAGCCAACGTTTTCATTCAAGGCCCACACCCGGCGATCATTATTGGCAGTACGTGTCAGGCTGCTGGCGAGTTGGTTTGCACAAGTGTCGAGTGCTTCCATCGATGCCACGTCAAGATAGGTGATTTCGGACTGTCAACTTTTCTGGAGCGTCCCCCCGGTATGCCACTGATATTAGCACTGTTGGGTTAAGAGGCAAGTACTTAATTTATGTAAGCAGTGTAGCGCCTTAGATAACCGAGTAGAAGCAACCATTAAAAATAAAGGGTCCATATCGGCCCAAACCGTCCTCACAGAACCAACTCGGCCCGTTATTGAAGAACTGACGTTAAAGGACGAGCCCGGTCCTTCAACGGCTCTTCAAACAACGTCTTCATTCGAGCCCCGTCTTCTCACGGGTAATTTGGGCACGCTGTTCTACACTGCGCCTGAGGTGCTGAAAAGCAATTCCAAAGGGCGTTCACTTTACAATCACAAGGTTTGCTATCTCTTGGACGTGCAGAGGCATTCCAAAGCTTGCAGATGATTCTTGGCAATCTAATTCGTTATAGGCGGACGTGTATAGCTTAGGAGTTGTTCTCTTTCAAATGCTTTATCCCTGCAAAACGGAGGCAGAGATGGCCTACCAAATCGACCACTTTCACGTGAATCCAGAAACAGATGATGCACTCCCAAAATCTCTGGTTGACTGCTGGCCCCTTGAAGTAAGTTATTGGCCCCATTTACCACTTGTACTTTCACGCATTTGACCCTATTTATTACCAAACCAGGCGAGTCTACTCCGGAGAATGCTAAGGCCCAGGCCATCCGATCGTCCAGAAGCAATAGAGATCCTATCGGAATTGGCGCCATCGTCTCAGATCATTGACGGCATTGGTCTAAAGAACTGCCAAGACACAAAGGATGAACCCACTCTAATAAATAAACTGAAAAAACAGAATATGCAGCTGGAGCAGGAGAATGCAGATCTCAAGCGCAAACTTGGACTCCCTAAAGGTTACAGACAATAGTTTCAATCTTATACCCTGTACAGTATACCTGAGTCGCATAGCACTTTTGACATGTGAATAAAATTTTATGAACACATATTGCTGAACGAGTAAAAAGGATAAGCACACCGAAGGGACGTGGTGCCTTTTAAGTATAGGAAAGGCAATAACAACTAATTCCAATAACATGCAGACATGCATATTTCCAGATCACCAAAAACAGAAATAGTTGGCTAATGACGCCATTGCGTTTTCTCCCACCAATAAACTGGAGACTGTGCGAATAAGAAGTCTCGACGATGTTGTAGTCCATACTATGTATTACCAAAATTAGCTAGACTTAACAGCTTTCGCCCTTGGAGGACCGCTCCTGAACCCATGCTTAAACCGACGATGAACTGCCTTGAGGTGGAGACAACGGCCGGTGCCCGTAGTTTTTCTTCTCCGAGCCTTTGAAGACCAATTGTACTTACGAATCCTGGGAGAAGGATACCCACAAGCAGCACAAGTTTTCTTTTGAATGTGATAAGACTTTCGGCCACATCGCCTGCACTGCGTGTGGGATTTGTTGTGGCGTTTTCCAAAAGACGTCGTACCCTTAGTCATTTCTGAATATTAGCACAGGAGTGATAAATCATACAATTGAAAAATCGAAACACCAGGCTAATCACGCTTACCAACGGCTAGTGCTACGACAGTGCCCGATTCGGCAGATTAAAACAAATAACGACCAGTTAAAGAAAATGTAGTAAAGCTAAGTGCCCTTTGATAAAAGAATTGATTTTTCAACAACAAATCTACACTAAAATTGATTGAGTTATGCGTACTTACGACTTGATTCTAAAAAAATTGTCATTACTTTTCGATCATCTTTGCTTTCTAATAATGGAAAGAGTAATTTATACCTTAATAGAAGAACTTTCAAAATAACTTTCATTTAATATTTAATAATTTGTCTTTTTGTTTTCTTCGTATACAAATGTGATATCTAAATATTTTTCTTGCTGTATCGACAAAAATGTTAAGATTTGGCAATAAAAAGTAGCTCTGCATTAGTTTGTATTTGCCTTGCATTTTTATTTGTGTGTTTTAACGGTCGAGTTTAGTTTTGGCGCAATTCACCGAGTGGGTGCGATTTTCCTGTGTGATGGTTAACGTTCCAAAGACCAGGCGAACCTTTTGCAAAAGTTCCAAGTGTAAAAAGCATACACTCCATAAGGTTTCCCAATATAAGGCCGGTAAAGCTGGACTTTATACGCAGGGAAAAAGACGCTACGACAGGAAGCAGTCAGGTGCGTGTTGGCTTCTTTTATTTGGCCTTAGGTTACGGTGGTCAGACTAAGCCCATCTTCCGAAAGAAAGCAAAGACTACTAAGAAGATTGTTCTTCGTTTGGAGTGCACGGAATGTAAATATAAGCAACAATTGAGGATCAAACGGTGCAAGCACTTCGAACTTGGTGGTGACAAGAAAAAGAAGGGACAAATGATCCAGTTCTAAGTGTATGCCATTGAAACACGTGGTTTTGTAAAAGATGCCTGTGTCCTACAGTTGTGTCGGGGCTGTATTGCGCTTGCTTTATGCTACTTGTCACGCGTTTTGGTTTGGTCTGTGCTGTGCTTCCCTCTCATTCTTCGTTAGCTTTGTTTCTACAGTTTTTCCGGCTTTTGGCGGTTTACAGTGCAATTTTTAATGATAGTATAGGTCTTACTGCATTTTAAGTTTGGGATTTTTTGTTACTTCGATGCCGTGTCTACGTTCCTTAGGTTCGAGCTGCTATGATGCTTTGGCTTAAGACGTTTTACTTTCCTCGTTAATTTATTGTCTATTTTGCTGCGTTTGATTGCAATTGTTTAGTATGATGTTTTTGAACTTTTTTTTATTCTCGGTATGCGTTTTTGGTTGAGCAGTAACTGCGACAATCGGATGTGTTATAATTCTGGGTTTCTGTGTCGTAGTTCATTATCAATTGTTACTCTCGATGTCGCAGGATGGTACTTGTGGAAGTTTTTTAGATGTCAGTGTGAGGACATTGTTATTTCGGATTTTGAAACCTGTCTGTAATTTCACTTGTATGCCTTGTTCTCCAGTTTTAAGACCCTATGCTAGGCATAGGTTTCTGAAATTCCTGGCTTTGGGGTGTCATTTCTAGTTGGTACTGTCTCTGGCTTTTCATGAACGGTTATTTCACTTTTCATCCCGTGTGTCAGTGCTAGCCTTCTGGAGATCGGGGAGAATGATGTTGTGAATCGCATTTCGGATCGAACAAATATGGCCACTTTGGGAACCTCCGTCCTCTCTGTGGTCTGGTTGTTTATGTAAAATGCTGTAAGGATACGTTTGTGCTCGAAATTGGTTCCATGGGAAAGCAACTTCCGAGTGGTGGGATTTTGGTGGCACCGCCTCGTATGTCGGGTAACGCATAAGGCATTGTAATGCTCCCAATCTTCAGCTATTAAATGGTAAGTAATTTTCCCGCTCTCTTCGCAGCTGCCATGGCAGTCTCCAAATGCATGCATGGTTATGCAATCCTAAAGAAATGTCGAAGTTGGATTTGCTGCGGTATTGGTAGTCTTAAAATCTTTCAGAATGCTGGTCCAGTTGGGTAACTGATACCTTAATGGTGATTGAGCCTGTCTAGATGCTCAACGTCACTTATCTGCACTTTGGGATTTTTTAATTTCTTTAACCATCGCTGGTCGAGAAATAGGTCTTAGTAAGTTGTAATTTGTTTTGAATTTTCATCAGTACGTTAAGCCACAATATTCGGTTGCATTCAAGTAGGTGTGTTCAGTAGTCATGAGAGGCTAGCGTCCATTTCACGGAGATGCTTAAGGTACCTCTTATAAAGTATTCTTCCATCTTTTATCAGAAAGTGTATACGATTGAGCTTGTAATGGAGTACCTCTAACCCTTGACACATCTTAGTACTGGAGTAGCGGTGCTGCAATTGCCACTGCGAGCCCACTACAGGTGGGGTAAAACTGACACGTGTAGGATTGCACAGGGTTTGTCGATGTTTTAGGCTCATATTTCCCAAACTAAGCACCGGAAAAAAAATTACCAGCGAGACCCATGAATACGTGGTGAGTAGGGTAGCTTGGCACTTACAATGGTCATGTTGCAGAGTCAAATTAGGAAAAATTCCATGATAGATGGCAAAGTGTGGTGACAACACGCTCTGGAATGTATCATCTACGGGAACTCATACAGGATAGTGGTAGCATATGGCACCAAATGGTAGAATCCTTGGTTCGGATGTCCCTATGTTTTACGGGGAATCGTTGCTTTACAAGTATCAAAACATTGCAGTCTTAAATAGAGCTTATTGAGAAAAAAGTTATTCGTATTTTGAAGGACTAAAATGAGTTTACCTCATTCGACTAGCTCAGCATAATTCTCCTGAATTATGCTATTTTCATTATCTTTCTGCGAATCAGAGATAAGCACTGAGGGCTTCAGGATGTCACTGAATTCCTTCAGTGTTTCTTTCACCATTGAAACTCTGTCAAACATTTTAGTCACTCTCAGCCTATCCTGATTTTTCGGCTTTGTACGTGAATTCTTCTGAGAGGGTTTATTAGGCATCCTTTACAGGGTACGAGGGAGCTTGGGTATGGTCTAGACGGTGGTCTGGCGTTGCTCCAAGGAAGGGACTTCGCTGTCATAAAGGAAGAGCTTCATCAGGAGTGACTGTCACTTATAGGGACAATTTTGACCTTGGTAAATTATACTCTAACTTAGGAGACTTGCGAAATGCAGTAAACTTTGTGAATTAGTTGTTAATAATGTAGCTGTAATTTGTTGAATAAATTGTGCTTCGTAGAAGGGATGTACAAACTTAGTTGAAGCACTGTGCAGGTGAAATGCAAAGGCCTTAGACATACTCCCATCCATTCAAATTGTACCCTCATAAGGATGCCAGGTGAATCTTTGCCGAATTGTCAACTTTCTGGGAAGGTTGAGATGAAGAAATGCAACAGTGTTTCGGGGTCGGAGATGCGTGCCCAGACAACTGATATCGTTGGGACTCAGTACAAATACATATATCGGTACTAATAAACTATCCTAAAGGTGTTTACATTGCATACAGTGTGCTTGACTCACTCTTACAGGAGTCCAATTTGCCCTCAATAGCGGGATCCAATGATCCATACGCCTACTTAGCTCGTGTAAATCCCTAATAACTCCTACTGAATTCAACTAAGGAAAACTACCGCTGTAATCCTTCGTTTATCCGACCACCTGATGTCAGGTGGTTACTTTTAAGACTATTCCGGCCCTTATATGAGTGGGCTGGTTTTAGACCATGCTCAGACCTAATTAGTTTATTATCCTTAGAATACGTGCATCCAAATCCACTTAATGCCTGTAATGCTTTGTTTATGCGACTATCTGACGTTTGACGATCACTTGTCTGAGCCCTGTACACGTGGGCTGGCCTTCGGGCCACGCTCACGCCCCATTTCTCCTATTGCTTTCGGAATACATGTATTCAACCCCAATTATGCCTTCTACTACCCCATTGGAAGCCTCGGGACGCTTCACTGGTGGCAGCGGAAAGCGAATCCGACATCTTTTTAACGACTTTTAGGTTTAAGATGCTTTTGAAAGCGACATAGTGTGTGGAAAGATGTGTTGCCTAACAAACACCGCTGTCTTAATGACATCCTGCGTTTGCGTTGCTCAACTTTGCCAATTAGCTGACTGATTTCCGGAAACGAACAGTGCGAACAAACCGACGAGCAACGGTTCGATAGAATGATGCACTGGTCCAATACATGCAGATGCCCCAAAATCGGGTTCCCTCGGCCGGAAAGTCGAAATCTCTATTTTCATGACATGAAGGTTATAATCCAATCAGCAGACAAGACTGCAAACGAATTCTGCTTCTTAGGGGAGAAATCCAAGATTAAGAAGCGCATTCTGGCAATCATGAGCTATACATGCGTAGAAGGAAGTCTGACTCTATCTATCTAAGTGCAGTAGATAAAGATACAGGCGAAAACGGGACGTGAATTGATGACGGAGGATTCCTGGACCCTTCACAACGAAAGGGTTGAGACTGACGTCTGCATTTGGTTTTACCTTATTCCCGTGTTCCACAGACAAGCTATTAACAACTGAAGCGACACCGTCGTGAAATATCTGGAAAAGTTTCGTGTGGGAATTTTCCAGACAGAACCCGTGTTTAGGTGTCGGAAATGACACAACGGATCTCGCATACGGGACAGTGGCCCGTCCCCTTATCCCTGTA